ATTGTAATTACATTGTAGCAATATTGTAGCAATCTTGTAAACATATTTAGCAAAAATCGAAGGTTTCAGCAAAGCAACCAGAATTTCACTAGTAGCTTGAATAACGCGTCAACTGACTGTGGTCGATCTGTCGTATCTAAAGTTACTACAGAGAGAGAGACCTCTCTAAATGCACCCCCTTGGGAACATAGTAAAAAATTTTACAAATGTGCACTTAGAGAGGGCGTGCATTTACAGAGAGCAATTTATATAGTACTATTATAAGCTGGGACCAGACTATACTGTGCATTTAAAGAGATTTTACATAGAAGGTGCATTTATAGAGAGTGCATTTAGAGAGGTCTCTCTGTATTTATCTGAAGTTGAACTTTAGATATATAAAGTTGCACCTAACCAGAATTATATGTACGAAGATCTAATTTCAGGGGCTTAATTTTTGTCAGGTCAACCTTTGAACTTTATTATATATCTAAAGTTGCAACTTCAGATAGATGGTAGCTTTAGATAAAGAAATTGCAAAGAGCCTATGTTAATATTATTAGTGCTAAAGTCCAAAGAAGTCAATGTAATGCTCCCTCTGCCGTCTTCGGTATCAAAGTTCATTATCATGAAGATTCAATAATTCAATGTAGTGTTCTTACAAAGAGCCTTCGTTAGTGATATGCAAATTCTAATTTTTTCAAATTTCATGCGCATGGAAATTTTTCGGATTTTTTTGATTTTCGGGACATTTCGGAATCTAACTAGCCTTCGTTAATGCCCTTATCCCTTCACGACCAAGGTTATTAGAGCTAAGGTTCAAAGAAATCAGCTTCTGTTAACGCTTTTCCTCCCTATTGCCAAGTTCATTAAGGGTAAAATCCAAAGAAGACAGTATAGTATTCCTACAACAGTACAGAGAACTTCCGCTAACGCTCTCTCGCGTTAAAATCAATACTGTTATCATGAAAATTTAAAGAACTGGTATAAAGTTAATGTCTAGCACCTCTGTTAATGCATCCTATTCTCTGATTCAGGTCTTTTAGAACTAGGATTCCAAGATGTCAGAGTAGCATTTTTTTTGCAAAGGATATAATCTACTTCTTCCATTACTTTAAATTCAAAATCATCAGAAAAATAACCCATAGAAGTAACAGGAGTATTTCCATAAAGATTTTCAAATATAATTTATATAATTTGACTATAATAATTTCATTAAGGTTCTTACACGTTCTAGGAATATTGCAATCAAAGAAATTTAACGACAGCCTCAAAATTATCAACTTAGTAATTTTCATAGTAAAGCCAATTTTTTTATTCCACCATACAAATAGCTGCTAGCTTATGTAATATAATTGGTATACGTATTCAATAATGATTTTGGATAATCTGGAAGGGTAATTCTAAATGTTCTAATAAGTATTTTACCTCTAAACATAGACTTTATGGTTCAATATTATCATAATAGTCCTAAACCGTTGACAGTTTACAAGAGGACATCTGAATATTTTAATAAAACATTCGTTTGTAATGTTATCATTAGTGATGCGAACGGTTAAGGCTAAGCCGCAAGCCGATCGGCTCGGCTAAGGGTCTACTAATAAAGTATCGGATCTAGAAACGGCTTGGCTAAAGACCTGAAGCCGAACATAGCCGAACATGGAGCCGCGAGCCGATGGGTCAATAGCACATGACAATTAGCCAATAGTAGATCATTTAGTATCGTGACTAAATTATGCACGTTTAAACCTTTTACATGTAAAAAATATTATGACCTACTTTTGGCCAACACTGGATTGTTCACACTTTCTTTCTTGTAGTTTGTTTTTTTTTTAAAAAAAAAAATTATTTTATTTATATATAATTAATAGACAGCAAGACCCTAAATAAATTAAATGTTAGCGTTAGATAATTTAGTCTAAGTAATAAAAAATGACAAAGTTCGCATGACAGTATATTTAAGCTATTTCACGCTTTATAACATCGCTTATATGCATTTCATTTATTGAATAATAAGTTTAACAAGAAATTTGTAAAAAAAAAATTCTTACATAGAAAAGCTGATTTTTGTGAAATCATATTACCATTAGACGACTCGGCTCGGCTTGAGGTTAATCAGCTTATAAGTGGCTTGGCTCTGGTTGCAAAGCCGAAGGATCAGCTCGGCGTAGTAAATGTTAGCCGTGAGCCGAGCCAAACCGAGCCGTTCGCATCACTAATTATGCTAAAAAAAGATCGGCTCTATCTTCTCAATATGGTTTAAAATTTAAATTGAAACCATGACAATATAAAATATGTGGGCACGTACGTATTGTATTGACACATGTACAAAATTACTGTCTAAGAGTTAAGCAATCACCGTAGTGACTGCTATCTAACTCAGATAGTATATTATTTAATAGGTCTCGCTTGGCACTTGAGACACATACACCTTTCAACGACGCACTACACTTTTACAATACGATTGTCTTTACTTTACCACTTCGCTTTTTCAATTTCCAGTCGAAAGACTGTTTAATTCATTATTTACAATTTGCTATTATAAGCGATTCTTACAATTACATATTCTGTACTACGATTTAACTATTTCTTTGTTATTAATTAATTTAACTTTTCATTGTTCCCCACTTAAACGTCATATTCATGCACTCAGTGATCAAGGTACTTATCGTACCCGATCTTGCATGTGCCGCCCCACATCTCGATTTACCTACGACTCCGATCGATCACGTGGTCACGTGAATCGATCGATTCGTACTTCCGTTGAACCTTCTTACTTCTCGATCCACTAATTAATTCAGTATCAAATTGCATACCTTTCACTAGGTATAAAGGGTCCTCTGAAACTATGCGACAATTACTTAGCTTGAAAAGATTCTACAAGCTAACTAAAGATTTATCGATAACTCTCTCTAAGAAAAACTCAATCCGCTGATTTTTTTTATATCGAGAACTAATCGTGAATATAAAAAATTAGAATATTTTGGACTGAATGATGGAGCAAAACTCTTGGCTAACTTAAAATAATACTTATATTCAGATGGCTTATTATTTCACAATATATGGGAAAAAATAATGACCTTTTATTATAAAGATATTGCATGTGCATATAAATATGATGTTTAAAAAATTGGTAATATGATTAACGAATTTTAACTAATTAATAAGCCCAATGCTTTTAAATAAATATGTTTACATTTGCTAGTCGGTATATCAGCTTCTATAAATTCTTTATCAAAAGCAAATATACATGAACGAAGAGAATGCTTAATTTCATATTCAGGCATATTACTTAAATATTCATCTTCTGATTCATCGCTTTCAGATTCATTATTCTCAGATTCACTTTCAGATATTGTGTAATCAGAATCATCATCATCGTATAAATCGTAATCTATATTTAATCTAATTTTGTTATTTCGAATGGTTAAATAATTACTAGATAAAGGATACTCAAATGATAAAGCTATTATTGAGTTTTTTGGTAAATTGCTTGGAACGTTTATTAATACTTGCTTGTTATTATTTTCATCTAGAACGATGTCTTTACTTTCCATGCTTAGTATCGATAAATCTCGTGTATGCTTACTATAAAAATCCACTTCGTCCGGAAAACCAACCAACATCCACATTATTTGCACGTCTGTTAGGTCTATACTTCTATTATTATTATTTTTTTTAAAAAAAAAATAATTACTAAGCTATTATTATTAAAGTAAAAATTTAAATATTTTTTATTATTACTTACTCGATTTGATCAAACTTTTCAATTATTGCTAGAAAGCCAGTCTTATCTTCAGATTGTATTTTTACGATAGATTTATCAAAAGACTGTTTATCATTAGATCTAATTACCTTTGCGAAAATATGGTAATTATTACTTTCTAAACTAAATGGGAAGTTTATTTTATAATATTTAACATTTTTAATGACCTGCACAACTCCTGTCATAAGTATCTTTGGAAGATTATCTATTCCTAAAATTGTTTTAATTTTATGGCTTATTGACTTTTCGAATATTTCATAAATTGGTATGAATTCACTACGATTAATAATATGTAATAATTTAAAGTCTTGTTTAGAATGATCATTTGACCATTTTTCAATATTATTTTTTTCAATTGATTTTCCATCTGTTGTCATCAAATATATTTCATCAAATCTATACTGATTGTCCCATAGAACAAAAAGATCATTTAAATTTAGTAGATAATTCTGAAAAAAAATTTTCTTAGTCTTTAATTGCTGAGAATAAGATGCCCCATAAAATGTTCTGTACAGTTTTTGTCCAAGCATAAGTTTTTGAGATATTAAAAAGCCAAATGTATCGAATATTTTAATTAGTTCTCGATATGGTTTATTGCTATTTAATGCATCATCTACTGCTATTTTTATTTCTTTTGTTGGTTTAATAGTCTCCTTCACAAGACTTAATTCAACTTTTGGATAATGAACCTCAAAGTGAACATGATCAAAAGACGAATCATCATCAAAAACGTTAGGTTTCAGCATAATTTGGATTAATTTTTGGGGTAACAATTGAAAAGAAATAATATCTATGTGATTCTTCAACAAAAATAATTCTTTTCTATCTTTAGGCATTGATATTTTTATGTAACATTTTTCAATGCTTGTTGTTATTCTTTGATCAAAATTGAATGCACGGTTTGTTGCAGTATATATATCTCGTGATTCAATGATTAAACCATTGTTTAATTTGAGAAATCTTATGGCATTTTCGATAAAGTTAGGGTGTAAATGGTTGTCATGACTGCTAGAAATAGAAATAGGCTGAGAAATCTCTTCCTTTGGTATATTTTCATTCCTTTCTATTTTTGGCATAGCAACATAATTAACCTGATTTATAGGTTGATTAGCCAAGTTTTCTAATGATTTAATTATAAAATGGTCCTGATTAATGTTTAAAAAAAAAGGATGACACCGTTGTTTATAAGAATTTGAACCCAAAAGACTCGCAAATATAAGCCTTTCATCTTTAGGTAATAACCATCTGCGTATAGTAAAAATATTATCTTTGCTCTTTGATTGTTGTTTCCAATTTTCTCTGCTCTCCCAGATTTGTCCTTCTGGTTCTACAATAAGAGGGCGAGATGTGGCAGGATCATCCGCATTAAAAATAATTGCACAATTAATTTTGAATTTTAGTTTACGACCCGTAAAATTAGTAGAGTTTGTTGAAAGATTGTGTTGATTGCAGCATATAGACATATAGTTTCCCTTTTGACAAAAATGATAGCTAGTTGCTATTTCTGATCTTCTTGAATCATATCCTGGATTTTCATCATAGTGCAAAACACAAGTTCCTACCCAACAATGTTTTTGTGTAATTAACCCTGGAATTTCTATCTCTGCTTCATCATGATTTTTAGTCCAAATATATTTTATATAGCTTGCAGAGTTAATTGAAAACGGTTCAAATGGAAGGTTTTCTTCATATCCAATAACCATCCAAGGTATTAAAAGGCTAATTGGTGTTGAATTTTCCGTAACTGGCTCAAGACAATGAATTACAAAATATGGATTATCTGAATCTGGATAATCTATTCTAATGCTAAATGTGTTGAAAGGTTCTCTATTTACTGCATTAAAAACAGATGCAAATATTTTATAACCTTTAAACGTTGAAATACTTGGTGGTTTGGGAACTTTAGTTATAAAATGACCTCTAAAATAATTAGTAGTCAAGACATTTGAATAAAATACTTTCAAACTGTTAACTCTTCTCACTTTTAATTTCAATTTTTCTGGAAGTAACTCATAAAGTGATAATTTATCATTATACATGATAATTTCACAATTATTACAAAACTTCAAGGATTCTAACCATTCTGATTTATTATTATATCTTGCAATCTTTTCAACATCACCACCTAGTACTTTAAGTTTATCGGCGCTAACTTCCTGATCGTTTAATTGATGTTGCATAATTCCTTCTGTTTGATTTTTGACTACTTGGAGGAGTTTTCCGCCAAGTTTAATTTCCTGCGCACTGTTAATTATCAAAATAATTAATAAATACAATATCTGTGATTTATAATTATAATATAATTAGAGTAAATAAACTTACAAAAAAAAACCATATTTTTCACCAACTTTATTCAGTTCCTTTCTTCTTTGTACTTTACTTAATTTTTTGTCTAACGCGTTTTTAACAGCTTCAACATACTCTTCAGTCGGTTCTAAATCAAGATGTGATAATCGGATGGAACATCTCCAATAATACATTATCTCATATTTATTCAATAATGTTCCTTGATTTTCAAAATTATTCAGTAAATTACTAAGCTTTTCCTCAAAACTTTTTATCCAAAGCTGCTCAAAGCTTTTATTTGTACTTCTTTGAACACGTTCAAAATCATTCTCAGTGGTAATGCTTAGAATGTGTGAATTTTTTATACGAAGTGCTTGAGCACTTGCAGAAACTATAGTACCATCTTCTTGTCTTTTAAGACCTTTAACTAAATCAAGTCTTTGTGCAATTTCTGGAAAGCTAGGCTTTGATTGGTCTTTTTTTATGTAAAAAGCAAAGGATTCATCTTTTTGAAACAATATTTTTTTAAACACAATATTATTTTCAACAGTAATAGATATTATACTCTTGTCTTCATAACAAAAATTTGCATTCTGACCCATTAATACATTTTTATTAAAAAATAAATGTTGACGCACTTCTTCTAATCTCATCGATTTATCTAAATTCTTTAAATCGTATGATGATTCTCCTTCATCGTTAATGACTATTACTTCATAATTCGTAATACCAATAGATTGAGATTCTTCATAAAATTGAAAATAATTCATGTTTATATTTATTAGTTTCGTTTATTAAATTAATTATTATCTTTAGTACTTGCAATGTCGTTAAATATTCATTCGGATAAAATGTACGTAGTATAGGTGACACCTACTCTAAATCGATTGACTTTTTATTAAGGTATCATTTATACTATATATCATATGGGCGGATTGTGCTCATTTTGTGATATCTAAAATGATCATATTAAAATAAGTGTTGTAAATAATAATAATTTCAGCTTACTTAGTCATATCTAAAATGATTAGATTAAAATAAGTACAATCCCCATATGATTTCATTCAAATATTCTATGCGTACGTACTGTATTTAGTTACACTATTAATAGTGCCACATGAAACAAATCCAAATAATTATGTTTTACATCACAAATATTTGCTCATTAATGATTATTACCATATTTTATTATAATTATATAATTAAAATTATAATTTAGGCATTTACAAATTAATATAATATATAATAAATTCCAAATGTCACTCTATCGTATTAAAATTTATTAAATGCTTGATATTTTAATATTGGTATAAAGAATTGGGATACGTGTTATTTCACCGACAATCACTTCACAGACAGCTTAGTTCACCGACAATTAATTCACCGACAAGTTCATTTCACCGACAATTATTTCATTGACAGCTCATTTCACCGACAAGTATTTTTTATAAATTACACTAACTTTAACTCTAATTCTAACCTGACACTAACACAATGACCAGAATTATTTTGTCGGTGAAATGTTGTCGATGAAATAATTGTCGGTGAAATGAACTTGTCTGTGAATTAATTGTCGGTGAACTAAGCTGTCGGTGAAGTGATTGTC